CCATGAACACACTTGCTCATTGCAGTGAAGACACTGTGGCAGACCCTCACTGTTTCAACTTATTTGCTAAAATTCTGCTCCAACTACCCAGTCTCCTGGCACACCGTGACAGACAGGGTCACCCACTGACCCAGGAAACTCAGTACTTTCCTTGACATCCTAACATGAAACTGTTCCCATTTCTCCCTCGCTGCTGTGTGATCACAGCTTCGAAACACTCCCATGAGGATGACTCTGAAGCCAGACTGGGGTGCAAAACTGAAAAGCCCCCATCTTCCCATCCACCTTCCATTTGGTTTGGAAACTGATGGGAGAATGAGAAAACAGACCAGACAGGATGAAATGTAACAGACAGGCAGGGTGTTAAAGGAGAGGTAAGGGGGGGCGGGGGGAAGAAAAGAACGAGATCTTTGATATCCTGGAATCACCGAAAAGCTTCTGCATCACCCCAAACCTGGTGAAAGCTGTATTTATCCTCACTGCAGTGCCTTTACTGGATCCTCTTTTGACTGTATAACAGAATACGGCACATGAACAGATTATAAAGAAGTAACTTATGATTATCACCAATGATGTCTCCAACAGAGAAGATTTATCAAATTGACAGGTCAGTATGGGCTGAGAGGCTACTCTAACTTATACATGATGGTCATATGGGTAGATAGCCCTGTATGTTCTGGGACAGGGACAAAAAAAGTCAATTATTTTAACCTACTATTAACTCAACTAATCTTCTCTTATCTATTTTCATCTATTATTTCAATCTCCCATAATGGAGGATGAAATTTCCTCTCTCCTGCATTACACCAGGGGAACAGACAATTTCAAAAACGTGCCTTCTGATGCCAAGATTTCTATGGGCATAATCCCAGTCCCAACAAAGCCAAGTCAAAAATTACCAGTGCCATCAATAAAAACAGTATAAGGCTGACAAATGTATGAAGCGAGTTCAAATGTATGAAATCTCCAGCACTGTCACAACACTATTTTGATCTCTCAACAAGGAAAAAGAGCACAGCTTTTTAAAAGAGGCTTTGTCACTTTGAACTCACCAAAATCTGATACCTGGGTTGCAAGTACAGCATGTAGAACACTTTTTTACTTCAACTATAAGACACTTCAGTAGTATGTGCAAAACTTCCTGATCTGAACAACTGGGGAACAGAAAAAAATATAACTTAAGCATTCTAGCTCATCTTTTGAGGTGAAAATAAACTTTCTTAGGTAGGAAGACCAAGCAATGACAAGTACAGAGCACAGAAGGGAACCTGACTGTATTACAGTTAAGGCAAACGAGATAACATATATGGGAAAGAGGATTTCTCTGTAGAGAACAGATCAGAAAAGACCCAGCAACTAAAATCACAGTTTTCAGAGGCTCTAAATTTATATTTAATTCCAACAGAGCATCCAACAAAGCCCATTAAAGTTGTGATGATAATAGGACTGATTAAAAGACCCAATGAGAACTGATTAAAGAACTTCATGATTTGATCCTTGCTGCTTCAACTTTCTTGGCATCATTTCAGTAACAAAAAGAGAACGCACGTCTAAAAATGGCATGGCACTTTCTTTCAAACACAGGCTTTTTGGGTTGGGCAAGAGGGGGCTTTCTTTACAATCGCTGAAGCTCAACTGGTCTCGCTGTAGAAGTAGACACGTTACGCATTTTCAGGAGAACCTTGAGTAAAGAGTTTTGTTCTCTCCACATTCAACACTCATGGTGAAGAAAGACAGTAAACAACAGCAAAGAATTTTCTATTTAAAATTAAAATGATTTTGCAAAAATTATCTTCTGCATTTAAAGATATATTGAAAAGCAAAAAATCTCCAGGCAATAGCCTATATGATTTTAAAATTTTACTTGTAGAACCATCAACATGGTAAAATTATTCCGGCATAGCTACATCAGGAAATCTCCAACTTCAGGGAAGCCTTCAGTCAAAAGCCCAAGAAGCTACGCTTTGCTGGCATTTGCTGCTGTTTGAATAGGTTACTGGGAGGGGTAGTGTAAACAACTGAACGTGAATGCAATTTTTCAGATACAAGTATCAATATTAGACTCCTCTGCAGAAAACTGGGCCAATTCAGTCCTGATCTCCGCAGTCAGTTTGGCTCTATTGCCCACGGACTACCTACTGCCTGCTTCCTTGGGTCACTCTCTCAGTGCAAAACCATTATCCTTGTTCCAAGAAGCAGTGGGAGTCTGACTGATGCAATGCAGTTTCCATTGTCATAACCAGTGGAAGATTACAGCTAAGGAGGGCTACTGGAGTCAGCAAAAGAAAAGGCTGCTTGTTCCTCTTTTATAGTGTCTTTGTCCTTCTCTTCTCTCCCCTTCACTGTTGTAATCCTCCGCACATCTTTATTTCTCATTTCCCTTTTTTCCATACTTGCTTGAATTTTTAATGCCTCTGTTTATCATTACCTAGCTATCCTAGTATATGTTAAGCTAAGATACATATGTCTGCTTTTACTATGCTGATATAGTCAAGTGTTCTGTTTACCAAGACATTTCCACATAAAAGCTAAAGAAATCTAGGTTAAAAGATTCAGTAGGAACAGCTCTTTTCTTTTGGATATTATAATATTCTGATTAGCAGAACTTCCAGAGGAATTGGCAGCAATTTTACACCTGAGAAGGAGTTCTTGCAACTGACCTTAAATAAACTACTTATCCAACTTCTTCCTTCTAATGATAACGAAGATGCTTTAACATGACTGGATTTGAAAGATTTGAGCCAAGGGCTCCTGCAGTGGGCTGAAGTCAGAACCGACTGAAATGTTATTAAAATGTGTATCTCGCAAAACTAATACAGGATCGGTAAAGAACTGATGATAAACTGATGATGCATTTGGAGATAGAGTAAAAGAGTGCAGCAGGGCAAGAAAAGTAACAGAAGTAGCTTTGACACACTGTTCCATAGTACAACTTCTGAAAACAGTCTCACTTCTCAAAAAACCTCCTAGAGGGTCCTCAACAAGAGGACTTCAGGGACAAATCACAGGAGAACCCTGTGATGGAGAGTGAAGCGGACTGAACAGCTCCCTCTGTATGCAAGAGATTTTGCTTAGAACAATTTTAACCTCATTTTAACCTTGCTTAAAAACAAGAGTTACAATTTCTTCATTGACAGTCTTCAAGTGTCCCACAGAAATGCCAAATATCTTTAATCTCACTTTCTTCAAACAGTGCAACTAATAGAACAACTCCCAGCACCCTGTTCTCACATATTTTAGATATTTTTACAGACACTGGTATTTTTGACTATTTCTGACAGAGCATACACAGTAAAAGAATGTATATCTAACTCTATCCTATATGGATTGCTTAAATAATAAAAGAATAAGATATGACAGAAAGATACAACAGGTCCCATTTAAAAACATGCCCATACATGGACAAAAAGGACAATCAGGACAACAAAAAAGATTACAAACCTCGCCTGGTTTTATCACCTTCACTCTGAGGCTCTGCTGATAGGCAGCTCTCCTTTGGTGTCGCTTTGCTGTGGCAAGCTTTAGGTGAACCTCTACTGTTTCTCCCTGGTTGAATTTGTGAAGTGCTGAGGGACAGAGGTCTCTTACTCTGTGTATCTGTCGGTTTATTAGGGAACTGCGAGGTGCTGGCAGTCTTCTCTCGATTTGCAGGATTCGGTTGTACTCGGAACCTGTTTTGTTCCCCATTCTGCACCCCTTTCTGTAGCTTGGCTTCTTTCCTCTTACTTTCCTCTTCACGTTTCCTGTAATTATAGTCAATACTGTAAGAATTCCAAAGACAAAATCCTGGAAGCACATAACTACAGAAACCTGACACTGCCACAATAAAACCTTGACTATAACACTTTTTTCGTGAGAAAGGGACCGCTGTTGTATTAAAGTATTTTAGCTTGATCCAAAATAACAACTGATCTGCAGCTAGAGCCTAACGAAGGTTAAGTCCTTCTCAGCCACCTGCCCAGGCAGTTTGTGGCAGATTACACTGATTTTGAAACGCTCTATTATTGAAAACAGTAAAATTTAGGGTTTTTTTATAAATATGCAAAAATTAAAAGCAGGATTTTGAAGAGGTGTCAGAAGACAAGAAATATGGTACTAACAACCATGTTTTAAATTAGCAATGAACAATGCTTTAATGCAGGCACTAATGCAATGCACTGTATTTGAAAATCAGAAAACTTTAATAAAAGATGTCATCTCTTTGAAAATTATTTTTCATACTTACCTACATCATAACTAATACTTCAAACTAGCTAGAGGTACGAACTTGCTGCTATGTATTTATTATTGATAAACAATGAATTTATTTTACAGAAACAGATATGCAGTATACAAATCATAAACACTGAAAATATGAGATGTGAATTAAAAACTTGTGTGCACATAGTATGCCATTACAATTATGCCATTTGGTTTTCCAAAAGGAAAGAAGGCATGCATCTCTTAAATAGTGTAGATATAAAAGAGAATTTTGGACAAGGTTAGGAAAGGCGCATCTGTTGAACCAAGTTTTGCAGCCTATTTTGAAATACAGTAGGATATCACTGCACTTCAGCTTTTAAATTCTTTTTTTCCTACAAAGCAGAATCAGCCCAATAGCACATTGCAAACATTACCTACCTACCTACCTACCACTGAATTTGTTCTTACAAATGAAGCACCGGTTGTAAGATGAAGTGACACTTTTCCTGTTGGAACGGACAGGTGGTAAATGTCGTATCGTGTAGCTGCCTGGTATTTTAACTTGCTTCCAATGCTACAACATAGTTTGCAGACTGTTGACACATGAGCTCACAGCACAGCATATGACAGGTTAGTTATGCAGCACGCCATCCGCAGTTCCTGGGAGCCGTATCAATGCCAGTGTATGTCATTCCAGGGTGAGCTGCCAGGGAGAAGCCTTAACTTTATCTGTCAGTGCTATCTTATCAAGTATGCCCTGCACAAGAAGCTGATTGAACTCTGCACCTGAAAAGCTGCTAATTGATCTAAAAAATACACTCCTGGCAGCCTGAGGTTCAGCATTCCCTCTGGTGTGGAAAAAAGTGGCTAGTTTCAAATAATATCGGCATTTCCCAAAAAGACT